TGGAGGGCACCTTCACCCCGGGCGCTCACAGTCAGTGCGGAGGTCACTGGGCGGGCGGGCCGGGTCCTGCCCGGGGACATCTGTCAGCCCCTGCCCTCCCTCCTAGAGAGCCAGTCGAGTGGCTTTTCAAAGAACCCCGTCAGGTTCTAGGGAAAGGGCAGCCCGCACCTGTTCGCGCCAAACTCTTCAGGCGCGCTGTCTGTGTGGATGGACTTTGGCTCGCAGTGGCTGGAGGGAGGAGGCCACACTATCTTTGTCCATCACCTCCGTTTTCCAGCGGGGAGGCGGAGGCGGAGGCACCTGCTGTACCGAAACTCTAAAGCTCTGCGGCTCTGGACTTTCACCCCTCCTTTCAGTCAAACCATACCTGTGGATTCATACGGTTTACTGAGTGTGCGTGCGTGCGTGCGTGCGTGTGTGTGTGTGTGTGTGGATTCCTACGGTTTACTCTGTGTGTGTGTGTGTGTGTGTGTGTGTGTGTGTGGTGCCTCAGCACCTCCCCACCATCAGTGTAAAACCTCGAAGATTTACAGTCCATTTTGGAATTAATTCTTTACCAAAATTGATCCTTTAAGGGAATCTTTGAAAATTGTGTTTTACCAGCTTGCTTTTTTGTTTGTAGGCACAGTTAGTTAGGTTTATGGACTTGGCTTTGAAAAAGGTGACATTTGAAGAATGCCCCTCATAGTCTGATCACTTCTAAATTGTGAGCCCTTCTGAAGTTGTTGACCCTTTTTTTGTTTGTTTGTTTGTTTGTTTTGTGGGTTTTTTGGGGTTTTTTTTGTACCGGGGATCAAACTGTGATCCTTGTGCTTGCAAGGCAGGCAGGCGGCAGAACTACTGAGCTAGATCCCAGCCCTTGTTGACTCTATAATGACTTTGAACCATAAAAGAGACCATCTTAACAAATCAGGATGAGCTATCAGTTTCAGTTGACTGTATTTGTATTTTTTATGACGTGATTAGCTAAGTTGAGAATTAACTTCAGTTCATGATTGACAACTGCAAAGGTGTATGTAGGTTCTAGACTGAAGGTACTTATTACATGTTCAGGTACTAAAACTAGGCAGTTAACATAGTCTATATTTGCTTGAAATAAGTTGCTGTTGTAATTTTAGAGAAAAAGATCTACTTTGACCTTAAATCTTTTTCTCAGATTAAAAACTTCTTAACTATGTATTTATACAAACCTGATGATGAATTAATTTGAATCATGTAAAATCTGATTTTCTAGAAATTGAATTAAAATAATAACAGTAACTAACACTGCAGTACCTTCAATGTGCCAAACTAATGCTTTTCACATTTGTGCTCATTTAGTTTTTACATGTAGCCCAGTAGGGGTGTTTCTGTCTCGTGAGGAGTAAGTAACTTGGCCGAGGTCATGCAACTGATGAGTGATAGGACGGGGATTTGGACTCAAGCTGCAGAGACCAGAGCCTGCTAATGATCAAACGGTGCCTGTTAGAAGTCTGTTCTTAGAACTAGAAGTTGCCTGGCACATAGATTTTCAAAGATAAGTTTTGATGCTATACTTTTTTCTTTTGTTTTGTCTTTGTTTTTGCTTTTGTTTTTGTTTTTTTGAGACAGAGCCTTGCTATGTAGTCCAGGCTGGCCTTGATCCTCAGTCCTTCTGCCTCAGGCTCCCATGTGCTAAGATTAAAGGATGCACCACCATACCTAGCTTGTTACTTCTTAATGCTCACAGTTACTATGTTCAGAGGGAAAAATAGCAGGATAAGGATGTTATGCCAGAACATGAGCTTTACCAAGACAGGGACATCATTTTTTTTAGTGATTTAACTTAGGGGTCTTGAGCATTCTCTGGCATGTGCATGAATGAGTCTCCAGGAAAGGTTTAAAAAATCCTGGATTTTTTAAAAAATGATAGATGGGATTTATTTCAAGCCATCGATAAGAAATAGTATTTCTCTCAGAGGTGCAATTTAAAGTGTAATTTCTGTTGTAGAATTGGAGATCACATTTTGAAACAAAAATTGTTTTTAAAATGTAGACACAATGTTGGAACTTTCTAAGAATGATGAAGTTCTATGGAGGCAGGAAAGATGTTTGTGTCATGTTTCTTCCTCAAACAGGCTTGGAGGAAGGACTTTTCCTCTTGTTCATTTCAGGTATTTTCCATCCAATGTTGTCTCTTTAGAGTAAATGAAATATTCTTGTTAAATATTTTCTGAGCTGGGAATAATATAGCTCTAGTACAGCGGTAGCATATGCAAGCCCCTGAGTTTGATCCCCAGCCCTGAAAAAAAAAAATCTTTGAAAGCTTTTCCTATAGTTGAAAGTAATATTTGGTTGAGAAATTTTTAAGTTTACAATGTAATTTTATATATCAAGTTGACCAGGCTATTGTATGTAGCTATTTAATCAGATATTAATTGAGGTGTTGTGATGGTATTTTGAAGATGTGGTTAATATCTACACTCAGCTGACATTTTGCAGGGGGGCTTTTGAGACAGGATCTAGCTGTGTAGTTCGGGTTGGCCTGGAACTTCTATAATCCTGCCTCCTGGGATTATAGGTGTGTGCCACCACACCCAACAACTTTAAAGAGTTTACCCTTAATAACAATCTGTATATCTGTCTAGATTTAGTTGTAGATATTTATGTTTATATCTGTATCTCTCTATCTGTATATCTGGTTTTGAATTGCTGGACCATCCTGACACCACTTTTGCACCAGGAATGGTTCTAGAGAATCACAAAGGTTGAATTTTCTGATTGGCCCTGTAGTATTTGATATTTGTTCTCTAATCTAGTTACATTTAAAGGCTCCAATGACATTTCCAGTAATGAAGAGGACATTGATAGTTCATGGCATAATATGGCAATAGAGATTTGCAAAATTTCACCACTCGACACTCCAACTGAAATGCTTGTAGAAGGCAATGGCCTGAGTGATCATGTATTTGATAAAACATTTTTGTCAAAACTAGTGAGCACCATGATATTGGCTTATTATTGTCCACTGTGCCTGATAAAATACAAAAGGAAAGAATGAGTTCAGGATTTCAAAGTCTCAGTTCAAGATCCACATAAATGACTTGGAAATTTCTATGTCTACCCTAAAAAGACACTTCTCTCCTATAGCCTCAGAACTGAGTGGAGCTGTTAATCTGCCAAATGCTTTGTCTTAATATCTGTCATTAAAGGCCACCAAATGCAGTTTCCTTTAATCTGGGAGGCCTATGCTGTTCTCCACAGGGTGGGTCAACTCTCCAGAACTATATTGTCATTTAGACCACAAGGACTTTTCGTTGGTTGAGTTGCGTCCCTAAAGATCCACGTGTTGAAGTCCAAGCCCTTGCTGACTCTGATTGTGATCTCCTGTGGGAATAGGGTTGTTGCAGATGTGACTAGCTAAGATGAAGTCACACTAGAGTAGGCTAGACACTAATGCAGCCAGAAAATGCTATGTGAAAATGAAGGCAAATGCTTTTATAAGCTAAGGAATGTCAAACATTGCTGGCAAATCAGAAGCAAGGAGAAAGGCATGAACAGATTCTTCCTTGCAACCCTCAGAGGGCACCTACCCTACCGAAAGCTTGGTCTTGGACTTCCAACTTCCAGAACTAGAAACAATAAATTTCAGCTGTTTAAGGCACTTAGTATGTGGTTCTCTGTTATGGCAGTCCCAGCAAACTAATGCAGACCTGGGTCACCTTTCCCTTAAGAAGATTGGCCCATCATAATAATGACATTAGGCTGAGTGGACTAGGAAGTGAGAAGAAACAATTATTCCAGACTTTCAGATAAAACATTTGTAAATTATAAGGGGGGAAATAGCCAACAAAAATTCTGGGGCTCTATCTCACTGAAATTTCTGGGGGTCCTTCTAGTGGTGTAAGGCACATCCCACCTGCAAGGGAAAAAGAACACAGGGGCCTCTTTAGACCTTGACAGTGACAAATTCCTTACTTGTTCCTGCTACTCCCCCATCAGCCGCTAGTTCTGAATGGGCCCAGCATAACAGCAGGGCCTTCAGCAGGCCCACAGGGGCCATGTGCTACCACAGGTCCGCAGCACTGGGGTTGGCAGTGGCTGAAGACAGCCGCTCAGAGGCTCGGCAGGTTCTTGTGGGTGAGTCCCTCACAGATCCTTAGGATTTTGTGACAGAGCCTTGCATTCCTCTGTGGATAACTGTCCTCCTTTGGGAAAATCTTTTTTATTCCTAGGCTTAGTGGAGCCTGGACACGGAGCTGTGGGCTGCAGAGTTATCCTGCAAACTGTGTTAGGATCTGTTCATCAGGCTGTCCATGTAGTTCTCAAGTGATCAGACCTCCTCATGGAGTCAGTGCGTGAAATAAATAATACATATGTAGTGCATAGAACAGAGCCTGTGAATTTCTACTTCTCTTATCACAGCTAAAACTGCTACTTTAATGTCATATAGTCATTAGGACATTTGAGTGTAGAATTTTTTGTCTTAATACAGCTAGGAAAAAAGTGATTTTCTTGAATTCATGTAAACCTGAGCAGCGGTTTGAAATGGTGACAAGTCTGAGGCATTTTATATGCTGTCACTTCCTGAGTTCCTCCGGGAATTAGCAGTGGCAACAATGGTCCACCATCTCTGGGTGAAAGTGTAGCTGGGCCTTACACATGTACAGCAGCAGCTGAAGAATTGAAGAGAGAGGAGAGTCCTCAGAAAGGAAGGATCTGCCCAGAGAAGTGGGAGGTGGGCTGCTCAGAGCCTGCGGCTCCTTCCCTCTCTTGTGTCTGCAGCACATGTAGTTTACGATCATCTGGGGGAGTCGGTACGTATACGTAATACACCTCGATTCGTCTTTTTCAATCTCCTTTCCTCCTGGATCACTCCTTCCTTCTCTCAATCCCTTTTCCCATTTTCATTTTTATTGATACTATTATTTATGTCATGTGATGACATATAACGTTTACATTCATTTAGGTTATTAGGTTCCCAAATATGATATCTTTATTCTGATTATTTCCCCTTACCCTTCATCTCTCCCCTCACCCACATTCTCCTGAACCACGTCCTATTTACAAGAGATCCATCCCCTTGTCCCTGTTTATCCATCCTTTATTGTGTTCTTTGTTTGTATTTTGCCTTACTCAAAAGAGAGATACTATATGGTATTTAAGCTTATGTCTGATTTATTTCACTCAAAATTATATTTTCCATGTGCATCCATTTTCCTACAAATGTCTCCAATTTGTCCTGTAGAGCAGAATAGTATTCCATTTTATATATAGGTACCACATTTCCTTTATCCAATCATGTGTTGATGGGTATTCAGGCTGCTTCCAGCATTTAGCTGTAATTGTGCTGCTATAAACATTTGTATGTATGTGTCACTGTAGTATGCTGTCTTTGGCTCTTTGGGGGAGATGCCTGGATCTCTGCAATTTTGGTGTTTGACCTTGTTGTTCAGAATGTGGAAGGTATAATATGAATAACATTACGTGGAAGTAACTCAGCCATGATAAAGAGCCTGACCCCAAGTGACAACCCAGTTTGTCATCCAGGAGAGGGTGCTGGACTTCTGAGGGGATATGGGTGCGTGTGTATTAGAACAACAAGTTACAACTGGCCTGACATAGAACAACTTGGATTACGACCAGAATTTTAGTTTTAACTTACAAAGTCTTGAGTTACGACACAAATATTGGCAGCTTGTGTTTCCAGATGGTCTCAAATACAGATTTAATGCTTAAAGAGTTCTGGAACATTACAACATCCTTTCCTGTATGGGATTAATTGCAAAATCCTAGGCCACTGTTTCTCTAAGGACCCTGAGATCTGCCTTCGTACAGGAGAGAGACTTGAAGGCTGTGTAGAGGACCCTGGGCCTTTAATTGACCAACTTTAGTTACAACCAACCCTCAAGAACAAATTGAGTTTGTAAGTCAAGGGTCTACTGTAAATGAGAAGTTTTTATATTTGAGGGTGCTATTTATAGTGCATTAAAATTAGAAACAATCTAAATTTATAAGAGCAAGAGAACAGTTGTGGGTTATTGGTTTATTTTCAGAATGATGAAGTATTTCTTATCCAGCTTTTCATGCTTCTCATGAGAGGTCCACATTCAGGGCTTTGGGAACTGTTCTGGATATGTGTTCCAAGATGCTGTAGTTAACAGGTCATGCCTACTTTCCCAGCCAGCTTTACCATGCCCCTGATCTCCTGTATCAGTCGTAGTATTTGTTCATCAATTTACTATCTATGGAAACAGTGGTTAGGCTATTCATTCCTCTCAAATTTGTCAATTTGTTTTCTCTCTTAGTCTGGCTAGAGGTCTATCAATTTTCTTCATTTTTTTCCCCAAAGAACTAGGCTTTGATTTTGACAAATTACATTTTCATTTATTTCCTCCCTTTGAGTCTCTTACTCTGTGTATGGCTCCCAAATTTAGGCACATAATCTGTCTATTGTTGGTTTATCTCTAGATTAAAATTACTAAATCTACCCTCACACCTGGGCTTGTGTGGTGCTGATCAATTTGCAGGAGCTGCTGTACAGCAGGAGTCCTGTGTGATTCCTGTGCTAGTGCTGGGGCGAAGTCCTCTGTGTGCAGTGGACCTGGCGTGGAGTCTGAGAGGAGCTCACGTGGGATGGTGTGGCCTCAACACCCAGCACCAGGCCTCATGCTGTTTGCTTCCTGTGAGCCTATAAACACCAGCCTTCGTAAGGTCTGCAGGACAGTTTACTGTGTCCTGTTCAAAGGATGCACATTTATAAGGGCCGGGAATTTAGCTCAGTGGCACCATGCCTGCCTCACAAGCATGAGGTGCTAAGTTTGATCCCCGATACCAAGACAAGAAAGAGAGGGAGGGAGGGAGGGAAGAAAAGAAAAGATTAAATTTAAAAGTTATAGAACCTTGGGGCCGGGGATCTGGCTCAGTGGTGCCACTACCTGCCTTACAAGTACAAGGTCCCAAATTCAATCCCTTGTACCAAAGAAAAAACCCCACAAAAAATAAACGTTGCAGAACCTTAGCAGTTTCCTCTGCATTAGGTAGCAGTGTTGTCTTTTTACGTCCTAGTACTCAATGATTAATATTTAAGTGGATTGGTTTAAAATGGGAACCAATGTATAATATACCTTTTCTTTTTCATACCTAGTCTCTCTAGAAGCTGCAACCCAGCCCCATCTTTAGAATGCAGTGGAACGTACTGCGGACTGTGTCTCGGCTGGCACATAGGACGTGCCTGGGGTCGCACACAGCTGGGCTATTTGAACACTGTCAGCATGTGAAGGGACCATTGTTTTTGCACCATGCCAAGTCCAGAGTGGTTTGTGCACAAAGCCCTCAGGAGAGGTGGCTGTGCTCACCTGTGGCCCAGTGCCTGGCAGAGGAGCGGAAGCCACTGTCTGCACGGCCTCTCCAGCCCAGGGTCCTTCGCCATGAACAATGGGTGCGGGATGTTTCGTCTGCCAGGAGTTTATCATCCAGTGCCACCCAGGGGATGCCTTCAGAAAAAAAGGAAGAGCCTGATCCTCTGCAAGACAAATCTATTAGTCTTTATCAGCGGTTTAAGAAGACATTTAGACAATATGGGAAAGTTTTGATTCCTGTGCATCTAATAACTTCTGGTGTTTGGTTTGGAACATTTTATTATGCAGCCATAAAGTAAGTTTTTGCTTTGTTGGCCACTATTTATCAATGTTAATCTCCTTCATAGTTCTGCTGATTGAAAGCCTTAAGTTTTTTTTTTTTTTCTTAAGCTTTTGTATCTTTCACTGATAGAGGACAACTACTCTCTGATGCTCTTTTTTGTGTTTTAAGATGAACAGCTAACACTTGCTTACTGTGTAAGGGAATTGTGGAATACTGTGTGTGTCACCTTCTTGGCCCTTAATGACCACATGAAGCTCAGGTAGTGAAGTCTCTCCCACTTGATGAGTGAAGAGAAGCCCGCCCCGGCCAGGGGAAGTGGGAAGAACTCAGTGGTGGAAGGTGTGGACCGAGCTGGAATCCCACTTAGCTCATCCACAGGGCAGAGGTCCTAGAAGTGAAGTGCTGATCTTAGAAACTTAGCAGCACCATGAGCTTTGTACTGACAGGTTTGTTAGAGTGTAAGTAAATGTCAGCAGATAGCTGTTTTGCTGTATGATTGGATTGGTTAGGATGAGAAATTCATAAGGTACCTTTCAGCAGAGCCTGGCTGCTATCAGGAAAACAAAAATGAACAGGTCACAGACTTGTGCTTTGATACTGCTTACTTCGTGACTTTAAGGTCAGGCCTTCCAAAGTGCCTGGTGGCCTGATCCCCAGGCCTGTGGAACATAACGTTTCTAAATGCATCATTTTTAAATATGGTTCCTTCCTGATAAGTCATGCATGCCACCCTCCTGGGGAGCAGGGGTACCCATGCTCCCCACAGGCCGTCCTGGCCCCTTCAGCGCTCCCACTGAGTTCAGTGCCGTCGTACTTCCTAGAGTGCACTGCTATTTCATAATGATACTGAATGGCTTGAGATGAAAGCACTGATGATCTAGAGCAGCTGTTTGTGAAGCTCACCCTGGGCGGAGGTTCTTCACTTCCCAGGATGGTAGGTGGAGTTGGTGCTCCTCTTTGAGAAACACAGCCTCCCGGAGGTTTGTATACACAGTGCCTCTTTACCTGGTGCGTGCATGCTGCTCCCTTCTCCCCGTTTGTGTCATTTCCTGTGTTTTGTCTTTAGGAATTGTGCCTCTCTTTGTGGGAGATCTTGGGTGTGCTTTGTGGAAGCATTTCAGGATATGTTTAATATTTACAAAAGTCTTATAAATGCCCTTAGTTTTTTGACAAAACATAAAGTTGTGTTCCATTTTGAATCCGAGTTCTTAAATGCATTCAGTCCTGCTCCTAAGTGCGTGGCTTTTTACATGCTCAGGTTTTATTTCTTGAGCCACTGCAGGGTCCTGGGACTCCATCCCATGGAAGGAGACAGAAGCAGTGCTTGTTCCTTCTGGGCCTAGCAGAGAAACCCAGGATTTTAGTTACTGACGGTGAGAGTCCCACCTGAGCTATTGAAAAGAATCTTTTTTTTTTTTTTTTTTATTGTCACTAGTCTTCGGTAAGCAAGTTCTACTGTGAGAAAAGCAGAAGCACAATAAGTCCCACCTGCTATTGAAAAGAATCTTTTTTTTTTTTTCCTTTTATTGTCACTAGTCTTCGGTAAGCAAGTTCTACTGTGAGAAAAGCAGAAGCACAATAGACTGGGGTGTCATTCTGCAGCAGATTCCTTCTGAGTCTCTTCTCCTCTGTGAACAGCACCTTTCTTATTTCCATCTTCCCCTCTCTGCAGACTGTCCAGACTCAGTGGTGAGACTGTCCTTTGAGATCATACCTTCAGTTGTCACAGCTGTTCTCAGGCCAGAGAGCAGAATGTCATTTTCTTTTATTAACTCAGCACCGAAGTTCTCAGACTTCTGAGCTGTTTTATTTCAGGGAAAGCTAAATTGTGCAGGCTAGTGGATTTTATTTCATGGTGGAGCTTTGTGGCTATTCCTGTTTGGCATAAGCAGGACAAACAGCAGATGCTCCTGTTCGACTCAGACCCTCATTGATGAAATACATGGGACAGTCACTTACTTTTTATCTTGCAGAAGCCACTGTCCCATGATGCTATCCTTTGTGCTCGATGTTTTAATTTATTTTTGTTTCATTCTTATGATAGTTTTTTAGTAAGCACACACTTTTGTATTTGGCCAGGTGTATGTCTTTTTTAACCCTTCACAGTTTCTGCTAAGTGAACTGATTTATTTGTTTTCAGTTTTTAATGATTTATTCTTTGTGTATTGTTTTCCAACTTTTAAAAAACAATTATTAGTACATGCTCGCTATACCTAATGATCGCGTTCAACAGAAGGGGTGTGTACGTGTACGCATAGCACATATTCTGTTTTGTCCCCTTTCCCTCCCCTCGCTCCAGTCCTTCTTCCCCTTCACGATTATAAAAGCTCTACTTCCATTTTTCCTTTCAGTTCTTTTTTTGCGGGGAGGGTGTTGAGACAGGGTCTTGCTATGTAGTTCAGGCTGGCCTGGAACTCATAGCAATCCTCCTGCCTCGGCCTGCCGAGTACTGAGATTGCAGGTGTACACCACCTTGCCCAGCCTTCTTTCAGTTTTTTTTTTCAATCCCTTTTCCCTTCTTTCCCTCTCCCTTTTCTCCACTTCTTGTTCCCCTTCCCATTTGAGCAAATTCTTCCTATTTCCTAACATCTCTCCCATTCCATTCCTTATTTATACCTAGATTTCTCATACAAGTGAAGTAATGCAATATTTAAACTTGTGTGCCTGATTTATCTCACTTAAGATTATAGTCTTGAGGTGTATCTATCTAAAAATGCCTCATGTTTATCCTTCATGGCAGAGTAGTGTTCCATTATATATAAATACATTTCCTTTATCCATTGATCTGTCAGTGGCCATATAGGTTGCTTCTAAGATTTAGCTATTATGAACTGAGCTGCTATAAATATAGGTATCAGCCAGGCATGGTGGCACACACCTGTAATCCCAGCACTCAGGAGGCTGAGACAGGAGGATTGCCACAAATTCAAGGCCATCCTGGGCTACATAGTGAGACTCTGTCTCAAAGAAAACAAAACAAAAAACCCATGGGTATGCATGCATCACTGTAATATGCTGTCTTTAACTCTTTCAGGATCATACCTAGCAGGGGAATAGCTGGGCCAAGTGGAAGCCCTAGTTTTATGATAACTGCAGTGGCTGTGCCAATTTATATACTCCACCAGCAATGGAGAAGGAGAGGGTTCTTCCCCACCCCACGCAGCCTGGCCAGCATCTGTTGTTGGTTGATTTCTTGATGCTGGCCATTCTTTCTGGAGTGAGATGGAATCTTGTTTTAATTTGCGTTTCTCAAATGGCCAGCAACCTTGAGCATTTTTTTCATGTGTTTATTTGTCATTCATACTTCTTCATCTGAGAAGTGTCTATTTCAGATGCCCATTTTTGGATTGGGTCTTTAAATTTGTGGAGTCCAATTTTTTTTTTTAGTTCTTTATACAATTAGACATTAGTCCTCTGTCTGAGGAGTAGCTGGCAAAAATTTTCCCCATTCTGTAGGTTGTCTCTTCACCCTGTTATTTGTTTGCTGTGCAGAAGCTTTTTAATTTGATGTTATTCCATTTGTTGTTTCTTTGTAATATTTCCTGTGCAACTGGGTGTTTGTTTTTTTTTTATAAAGTCTTTACTTACACCTATGTTTTCAAGAGCAAATAGATTCTATTCTAATATTTAGATCTTTGATGCATTTTTACTTCATTTTAGTGCATGGTGGGAGATAGGGGTCCAGGTTCAATCTTCAGCATGTAGAAAGCCAGTTCCCCCCCACCATTTGTTACAGGGGCTATCTTTCCTCCACTGAAGATGTTTGGCCCCTTTGTCAAAGATAAGGTCGCTAAATGTGCTGGAATTATTTCTGCATCTTTTGTCCCATTGATCTACAAGTCTGTTTTTTTACTAATACCATCCTGTTTTTATCACTGTAGCTTTGTAGTGTAACTTGAAATCTGTGATTGTGATGCCCCTTGCCTTGCCCTTGTTGCCCAGCATTACCTCTGTTATTCTAAGTCCCCTCTGGTGAATTTTAGGGTTGTTTTCTCTAGTTCTGTGAGGAATGCTACTGGTATTTTGATCGGGATTGCATTAAATCTGTATAACAGTTTTGTAAGTATGGTCATTTTCACTAAATTGGTTCCACCTATCCTAGAACAAGGAATATCTTTCCATTTTCTGATATCCTCTTTTATCTCCTTTTTCAGGGTACTGTAATTTTCATTGTAGAGGTCTTTTACTTATTTGGTTAAATTAATCCCTAAGTATTTCATTTTTCTTGATGGTAGTAAATGAATAGGTTTTATACAGCGGTCTTAGTTGGAACTAGGAATGATTAACGGAATAATTTCATAATTGTATTGGTGCTGGAAATGAAATTGGCATGTGAAAGAAGGATTCTACTGTATAGCATTATCAGTGACTCCGTGAGGTCATGGAAAGGCTGACTAGTACTGAGCCACAGTGGGATTCTGTTACCTTGAAAGAAAGGGGAGAAAAGATTGAGACTACTGATACAAAACCAGATTGGGCTCATAACCAGTTTTTTAAACTTATCTTTTTAGAAGTTCCTCACACTGTTCTTCTGTCCTCTCACTTTTTGGTTTTTTTTCGGGGGGCAGTGTTGTTTTTTGTTTTTTGGGGGGGTACCAGGGATCAAACTCAGGTCCTTGAGCTTGCAAGGCAAGCGGCGGCATGACTGAGCTAAATCCCTGGCCCTGTCCTCTCACTTTTGATGATAGGTATCTTTAATGGTCCATGGTCCCTCCTTGGTGGTTAGCAGTATCCCTGACTGCTTATTATTATGGTGAAATCCGGACTCCTTTCCCCCAGTTGATGAAATTATTTTTTAATATTAGAAATAAATTAAATGTTTAAAGCTGCCATGATAATGAGTCTAGGCAGTTTCCTTTCTGAATGACAAGGAGAAAATCCAGTCACAGTGGAGCCATGTGGGGCCTGCCATGAACAAGGGACACACAAGGATACCAGGGATGGGACAGAAAGATGTGTTGTGTCCCCCAGCATGAAGCACAGAGCCAGCCCCAGCTGTCACTTCCCTGTGGGAAAACATTCACAGAGTCTGTCTGCAGGAAACCACCAGACAAGCCCACCTGGGCCAGTAGCTGCCTGGACGCCTCAGTAGCACATTCAGAGGCAGCAGGGAGGTGCTTCTAGGAAGAGGGCTCAGTAGAGGAAAAGCAGCAGAAAGTTTTTATGTAAATTATATCAAATTAATGTGCTTTTGTATTAGCCATGTACGGTTGTGTATGTTAAGTTTCCTAATGTGCTGACTGTACTGTTAGGTGATATCCTTGTGCAGACTTAGGGGGAGAGGGTCACGGGCTGTCCAACGCAAGGGGAACACACACGGCAGGCTGTCCGGGTGGCTGGTGGGAAGCTGATGTACAGAACTCAGGCTTCCGGCCCAGCTCAGACCAGAGATTGCAGCCTTCCCTCCCTCCGAGAACTGGTTGCAATTTATACTAATTGTTCTTTACCTGTCTCTTAAGTCTAATAACAGAAGCAGCCTTAGAATAACTGAAGTTTTGTCAGCCCCACAGTCCTTTATTCTCTGCATAATAGCACACAATAAGTGATACAGTAAGTCCTCGACTCACCACCATTCGAGTTGCGAACGTTCAGACGTGAATGGACCTTGCATCAGGACTATTCTTAGAAGCATGCAAATCTCACAAGCAGCTCACGTGCCTGTGAACATTGTCACAGTCGAGCTGCTGTACAATGCCATAGTGTACAGTAGCGCAGCGCTCAGTCAGAGCCCAGCTTGTCTGGAAAGAAGAGGAAAAGCGGTGGTGATGTGGAGGGGACTGCTAGGAAGTACAAAGCAATGTACATTGCACATTGTGTCAAAGGGGTATCCAACTCACTTTGTCAGACTTATAAATAAATCCAAGTTGCAAACACTCTCCTGGAACAGAACTTGTTCGTAAGTTGGGGACATACTCTACTTAAATACCCTTGCTTTACAATAATGGTCTTCCCTGATGGTTAATTTTAAAGGCAGGAGGAAAAAATCTGAAGTCTTGAAGTATGAGTTGGAGCATTCTAAGGAAGTGGTTTTTGGGTGAAGAAACAAAGATCAGTTAAATTATTCTGACCCTGTTCTCTTAGTTTGTTATTGATTTTGCTCTAGTGTAAAATTTCCTCCCAGAACTGGGGATTAAACCCTTGGCCTTGCACAACTAGACCAGAATTTTGTTTTATTTTGTTTTGATTTTAAGTTTCCCAGGCTGGCCTTGAACTTGAGATCGTCCTGCCTCAGCCCTTACTTTCTAAATACACTAATATTCTATGCAGATGGTAGGATGCAGCTTAAAATTGATGCCTCTGGGTATACTATTGTTCTTTAAGTAAGATATTAGAGTGAAATTAAAGTGTTCGGTAATGCAGAATCAACTTCAAACTTTGGTAATCTTTGCCACCTGCCTCACAAGCACAAGGACCCGAGTTTGATCCCCAGTACCAAAAAAAAAAATAATAATAATAATCAGTAATCTTTAAGATATTTATCCTTAAAATCTTGTTTATATGTAACTTACTTTGTTTTTTTCCCAGAGGAGTGAATGTCGTTCCTTTTCTAGAGCTCATTGGGTTACCTGACATGATTGTGAACATCCTGAAAAACTCCCAGAGTGGAAATGCTCTGACCGCCTATGCCATGTTCAAGGTGGGTGCCACCAGTTCAGTCCCCTAGAACTTCTGTGAGCTCATGATGCTTACCAAGGTGGTGGTCATGTTGTTGATGTTTCCCCTGTTGACGTTTTGTTTTGCCTCAATCAGGTTTTCATGCCACCCAACTTCTTAGTGACATTTAGCAATTATTTTGCTGTTTCTATTTTCTTAGCAAGTAAAGTAATAAGGTTTAATAAAACCCAGATTGTTTTCAGTGGTGTCGCTTGGGCCTAGTTGTTAGCTCTTTTAGACATTCATAGCCTGACTGTCCTCTGGATTCAGACGTTATAAAGTTTCCACACCTGTGAGTCTTTTTTAGAAGAGAAGATTTGTCATGAACTGTGGAATTTAGCCATGTTAATGTCATTTTTTACAACAGACAAAAATCTTATGCGGGTCCACAATGCTTCTAAGAAAGAAGGAAAACAAGTAGAAAATGCTTGGAACCTAGGTGTTACTTTATTTATTTGTGTTGTATAAAAATTCCTAGAGTTGTAGTTTACAGTGTTACTCAGAAGTAGCATTGTCTTATTCTGCTGTCCCTGTTAGAGTCCTCTGGAGTGTTGGAATGTTCTCTCCTTGGTTGTAATTTTGTCTAAATGGTTAGAGCTTAAGTGCTGGGTGGCTCTCCCTTACAGTGTATTAAATTAACAAGTCAAGTCCCTGGTTACAGTGGGCACACTTGAACTGTGACAACTCTGGTGCCTGGTGGTGCTGTAGCTGCACCCTCCTCTGTGGTCCATGGCCACACCCCATCAGTCCCAGGCTCACGCTGCAACCTGGGTTTCTCTTTTGTTTCTCATACTACCCCTGACGGCTCAGATCCCAACCTCCTCCCATGTGTCTGCACCGGGTCTGGGGGCCAGTGTGAGCTTGTGCATGGAGGCAAGCCGGCACACTGGTGCCCGTCAAGGGGCGTGTGGGCTATCCTGTGCGTTTCCAGGAACCCATGTTCTGAACAGCACAGCGGGCACAGCGATGGCCTGTTCCTCGGGCAGAGCCTACATGGGGTTTGGCAGAGGTGAGGTGGGAGCAGGGTAGCCCTGGGGCTTGTGGGACTGTGGGGGATGCAGTCATCCTGCCCCAAGCTTCATTCACATGTGTCCAGGGACCCCTCTGGGCCAGGTTGTGTGGGAACAGGTGTTCCCAGAATGTGCACAGGAGGGAGCCTCCCTTGTTGAGGGACACGATGCAATGTGGCTGCAGATCTTCGTGAGACACTGAAGCATTTTCTCTGACTGGTTATTGCCCAGTACAAAACTCCACCTTCATTTCGCTCATAATCACATGCTGATATGCCTGGCTGTTTTCTTTTCAAGATTGCAACGCCTGCCCGCTACACAGTGACTCTGGGAGGAACGTCCTTCACTGTGAAGTATCTGCGTGGTCGTGGCTACATGTCAACCCCACCGCCAGTCAAGGAGTATCTGCAGGACAGGATGGAGGAGACCAAGGACAGACTCACAGAGAAGATGGAGGAAACCAAGGACAGACTCACAGAAAAACTGCAAGAAACCAAAGAAAAGGTTTCCTTTAAGAAAAAAGTGGAATAGGGTGCCTTATATAACACAGCTCACAGACGTTTCGTACACTTTTACCCTCTGGAGACTTTGGGTAGAGATACAAGTTTTTGTTTTTGTTTTTTTGGTTAGTTACTTAAAAATACCAGTTCTCTGAGGGTTAAGGAATCTTGATACCTTTTTTAAAGTTAAACATCACTAGAAAAATCAGTGTTTTTGAAAATAAGTGAACCCAGTATAAGAATCTTGCATCATAGCAGCAATAAGTAGTGGCTACTGTCTTTCAAAGCCGGGCTCCTGGGCCTCCCAGGCCTGTAGGGTCACACCTGTGCTGCTGTTCCGGCCAGCTGGAGTTTGTGCATGCAAGGCAGGTGGCACCCAGATGACTAGATCCAGGCAGACTGTTCACACTGGATTGTAGTCTTTCTGTTACTCACCAAGGTTTAATGCATTCACTTCTCCTAGGGGAGCCACCTTGCCCCCCCAGGCTGCCTGTGAATGGGAGAGAACTTGGTCTTTCTATAACTAACTCTTACCTACCATTTAAAATAGAGACTTTATATGGAGAAGGTTGAATAAAAATCGTCTTATGTATGTAAATTAGATGTACTGGTTATATGTAAATGGAAAAAAAGCCTTTGAGGTTTAACCTAAAGCGCGTCAGGAGTCATGTATACTTTTCAAGTGTGTATATTAGTTGTCACTAGAACATCGAGATGTTTTGAATCTTTTTGTGGGGGAGAAATTGTTTTTGTTTTTGTTTTTTTGGTACCAGGGATCAAACTCGGGCCCTTGTGCTTGCGAGGCAGGTGGCGGAACCACTGGGCCAAATCCCCGGCCCTTTTGAATCGTTTTTCACTGCTTTAGCTGACGTTTTGGAAGATGAGTGACTCAGCTTGAGGTTGTCCAGCACCTGGAAGCTTGGGTGGCCACGGTGATGCCAGGCTGCCGTAGGGAGGGCTGTCCCTGCGTGGGAAACACTGCACTCGGCACAGCCCTGTGGGTTCCCAGCATCTTCATCCAAGCGAGCGTTAATTCATTATGGAGCAAATCTTAAAACTGGCTACAGTGATTTCTCTTACAGTGAAGGAAGATATCCTTGCATGGGCATTTTACGTGATTATTTTAACACATACCCAACAAGGCCGTAATTTGTATGTCTCCCTGCTGAGTGGCTCTGATTTGAATTCCATTTCCAGTGTTAAATAGATAAGTACTGGTGGTTCAAGTCACCCGATGGGACAGTCATGCACGTACCATTGGTGGTTCAAACTGACAGGAACGTGTTAATAGCAAACTTGCTGTTAGATTATCTGCTTCAATCAGGCCTGGTGGTACATGCCTGTAATCCCAGCACTTGGGAGGCTGAGGCAGGAAGGTTGCAAGTTTGAGGTAACCCTGGGTTACATAGTGAGATCCTAGCTCAAAAAAATAAAATCAAATCAAACAGAAAACCTGCCTGAAATGAAATTCAGCAGTTGTCAGAGAGGAAAGTTACTGGGACTGTGGGGACATTTGAGTACATATGTTTTCTTTTGCAGTAACAGCTTTTACTTCAATTCTAACCTTCAACTTGATGTCGGCAAAGGAGAAAGCCTCTTTAGATGTCTGCCTGCTACAACAAGGAGTGGTTTTTGTTCTTGCTCTGTACTGTGGGACTTGGGCCTTTGCACTGAGCTATGTCTCCTTTTTTTCATTTTTTATTTTAAGATAAGGTCTTGCTAAGTTGCTAAATTGTCCAGGCTGGTTGAATTTTCAACCCTGCTTCCTCAGCCTCCCAGAATGCTGGGATTAAACATGTGTGCCACCATACCTGGCTGTTTGGCAGGATTTTTGTGTCAAGTACTTAGTTTTGCCAAGTTTAGAGAATAAAGGGGAAAAAAGTTTACACTGCTACATCTGGTCTTTATATTCAGACACTTCTTAAGTGAATCTGCTGTGACTGAAATCTTTCTGGGAGCTGGGGAGTTGCAAGGTGGGATCTGAGACCTCGTCCTGTGTCGGTCTGGCGACATGATTTCTCTCCAGATGCAAAGTTCTGTGCACAGCATCATGTTGATGGGACATTTTCGCATCAAAATGCTATTAGCATGTTTTAGTGTGTTTATTGAATTCAGATACTAAATGATAAGTTATGAGCAAATTATTCATATACTTGAAACTGCCTGTGTTAAAATCCACTGTATGGAGAGGGAAGAGGTGGCACAGGTTTGTAATCCCACCTACTCTGGAGACTGAGGCAGGAGGGTGCAGTTCATGATCACCCTGGGTGACTTAGGGAGACCGTGTCTTAAAAAAAAATTTAATCTATTATCTAAAATAGTTTTCCTTTTACCTTTTATACTGCACGAGGCACATTATCCAATGGGAATGAATTGGGGATTCTTAGAAGTTACTAATCTTGTTGCATATGGTGGTATATGCCTGTAATCTCATCTACTCAGGAGGCAAGGCCAATCTACACAACTCAATGAGACCCTGTCTCAAAATAAAGAGGACTGGTGATGTAGTCCAGTGGTGGAACACATGCCTCGCACGCATGAGGGCTGGGTTCCATTCCCAAAGCACTGCAAAAGAAAGTTATGCATTCTTCATTTAACGACTAAGCTCTGTCCTGCTGCGAGTCATTAAATGAATTAACCACTAAATGATGAAATGTATAGAGTATGTCATTACAATATTCACAACAAAGAAATGGTCAGAGGAAACTCCAACTTGATGACTTTGCTTGTGTTTGCATAGCTCTTACGTGCGCTACTATAATATATAACAATATAAAACTATACAGTACAATCAGTAAAAACTTCCATACTGTATAAAAGAGGTGTACAGAACTGAACAAAAAGTAGTTGTAAGTTTGAACAGTGCACCTTGGCTGTAAGTCTGAACAGTCGTTAAATGGGTCATTAAATGAGGACTGTAAACCCAAGGTTGAAATTGCCTTTTCTGTAGGTATTTTCCAGTCCACTTGTGTTTGTCACCCTCAATTTCTTAACTATTGATAGTCTGTCATACACATTTCTCTGAAGACCTGGGACAGTGGAGGCAAACCTACAGTACACGTGCCACCGTGGGCTGTTACCATTGAAAGCTCTAACATGTTCCCTGTCACTGACAAAAGAGTTCTATTTTTTGGTGTCAGGAATGTTAGCAAAATGCTTTTGCCAGCATGCTGGGACCCAGTCCTGTGGCAGGCTGCAGGCAATTAGAGAGGTCTAGGGTGTGTTGAATTTACAGTAGTCTCAACAGGAAGCTGTCAGAGCCCTGTCCCATGCCTGTGAGCTGTGTGGAGCCTTCCTTCACAGCCGACCCGTGACCTCCAGCAGCAAGACCAGAGCACTGTGCTGGGATGCGTGTCCCTACTGGGTGGCAACTATGGCAGCGACCAAGCCCGTGTAAGACGGATAGACAGGAGTTGTTAGCACGTGAGCAGCTGACAAACGGGAGACCTGCACTGTCCACGCAGTGCCTCCTGTGCAAGGCCACAGCTGCCCATCAGCTCCAAGGCAGCTCTACACTGTTTCCCCATGGAGTGGGGCAGCTGAAGTGAAGAATGACCAGTCGACCTGATCCTGGATGAGGATAACACCAGAGAGAGGAGCATCTGAACCCCATGACTGTGGACATTAAGTCCAACAGCCCACACCAACCCCCATCCTGCAGACGTCTGCGGGACCAGGCCAGTAAGACCAGAGGAGGATCACAGTCGTCATCTCCCAAGGGCCTCTGCAGCAGGGAAGGAACCTCACAAAGCCATAGGCCCTAACTCTAGGCATAGAAAACTGATTGTGTGATCCAAAGACTGCAGGTCTTGGAAAGAAAGAACTTGTCCAAAACAATTTTCTTTGATATTTTTTCTATTTTATTTTTCCTTCAGGTTTTTTTTTGGGGGGGTCACCCCCTTTTACTTTCTTTTTTCTCCCTTTCTCTTATTTCTTTTCAACTTTGTTCTCTTCTTTTAATTTCTGTTTTTTTGTAGTTTGCCTTTTTCTTCTTTTTCTTGTTATTTCCTGAAACTGCTATCACTATTTTCTTTTACTCCTCAAATAGTAACCCCTACCTCACTTTTTTCTCCTCCTCATATCCCATTGAGTAATTTTTCAAACTTTGCTCTTTTCTAAACTTTTCTCTCTCTCTCTCTCTCTCTCTCTCT